CCGCTCCCCACCCCCTGAAGTTACCCTCTGGCTGCAGCCGCTCTTTCCAAGCTGGGAAGTTTAAAACTGCGTTCCTCCTGCAAGTCCCCAAAGCAAGGCTCAGGCGGAGTTTAACAAAAGTTGAGGATGACAAGAGATTACAACATGGCTACAGGTGGATATAAAATATGCTTAGAGCCTCTCGGGGTCAAACACTGACCCCCTCCTGGCCTCCAGATCTCCCTCTGCTCCTAACCCCAAGAAAGTGCCTTCTTTCAGCTCCGCCCCTGCCCCGCCCCTGCCCGGTGGCCCAAGTGGCTAAAAGAAAACATCCCTGGGGTCCTCGTGGATGGGAGGGGCCATGTGACAGCTCTGGCCAATGGGCTATAAGCAGGAGTGATGGGCGGGGCCCCCAGAAAGCTCCGTAGAAGCCTCTTCTCCCCTCGCTCCCCACCCAGCCTCAGCCTCAAGTTTGGGGCCCTGGCGTTTCTCTTCCCCCCCTCTCGCCATGCTCTGGTGGCATGGGGTGGGAGAGCCACCCCCTCAGGATGGTGGAGCCGAGAGGGTGCAAGTTGGTTTTCTGAGGACCTAGCAGAGCAGGGGACACCAGCCCTAGTTGCTGACCTCCACACTTCTTAATGTGTGAGAAAAAATAAACCTTGATGTGATTAAAACACTGGTCTTTGGGTTTTCTGTTACACGCAGACTTACCGATTCCTAAGTTATTGGCCCTCCCCACCCAGCATCTTGGTCTCTGAGTCCACTGATGCAGAGACACTAAAACGTTGCCCCCGCTTAGCCACAGCCCCTGTGTCATAACACTGCCCACAACGAAGACAACAGATGGCAGTGGCTTTAGGCCCAGGAGTTCAGGGCCTGTCAAGCCGCCTCCTTCCAGAACAGGACCTGCCTCCGCCTTCAAAGGAGCACAGGGCAGGCTGACCAAAATCCACCTCTAGATAAAACACCAACTGCAGGCTGCAATTTGTAAGCATGGTCGCCTTCCTCCTAATCATGATATTAACATATAAAGGAACCATGATTATTCACCCCCAAACACACACACACACACACACACACACACACACACACACACACACACACACACAGTCCTAGGTCTGGGTCCCTTATTAGCAGAGCTTGAGACAGGGGTTCAGTGCGTGGATTTGCGGAGGGTGTGCTGTCAGGATACATGTGAAAGGGAGTGAGAGAATTAGGATGGGGCGGGGAAGCCCAGTGAGGATGCCCAGCTTCAGCCTGGTCCGCCCACCGGGGCTCTGAGCATAAATCACGTCTTGAGGCAAGGGGGCAGTCTCATGCCTTTGGCTTCATGCTGGATGTCTACCCAGTTAACAGAGAGGGAAGTCGAGGTTCAGAGATGGGAGGTAACTTGCCTGAAGTCACGCTTGCTAAGAAGCAGGGACAGGAGGTGACTCAGGACAGCGTGAGTGTGAACCCAGGCCTTGTAGCCTCGGCAGCCCAGGCGAAAGGCTGTCCACCCGGTGGGGCCTGCAGCTCCTGCCCACACCCCTCCTCCGCCCCTGCAGCGGCTCCAGGGCAGAGCGAGGGGCCCTGGGGAGCCGGGCGTCATCCGAATGGCTTTGCTGTCAGGGGAGATGCCTCGCCCCCTGACCTCACCTGCCCCCTCTAAATAAGCAGGCCTGCTGCATCGGCGTTTTTACAGTTATGAGGCATTTATGGGCACCTGGGGAGCAGCTGTCGGCATCTCCCCACAGGCCTGGGCAGGGGGCTCCCCCCATGCCCGCACCCCTGCCCTGGCCCTGCACCTCCAGCTGGGCCAGTCTCCCCGAGTCCCCGAGAGATCCCTGCACATCTCAGGCGAGGGCAAAAGCCTGAGGTTAAGGGTAAAAGCCCAGGGAAGAAAAGCTTTATTTACTCGTTTTTATTTTCCCCTTTATAAAACACAAATCATGAGCGCAGGGGAGTTAGAAAAAAACAGAAATGCAAAATAATAATAATTTTTAACTTAAGATCACCCACAATCCTCCGTCCAAAGCTAATAACTGTTAATATTTTCTGAAGCATTTCCAGTGCTTTCCCATAAAACAAACCTATATACAGAGAGTTTGCCCAGCATTTGTTAAAACCGTGCTAAGCATTGTGCTGAGGTTGAATATATCTTCTTTCAAGGATCCCTGAGATGAAGCTGAGAAGTGAGCTCTGGTAATAGAGCCATTTTACAGCTGAGAACACTGAGGCTCTAAAAGCGTCGTGATCGGAGATCTTGGGCACAGCGCCAAAAGACAACTCTGGGTGATTTAAGCAGAAAAGAGTATTTGAAAGATCATAGGACCCATAGACACACGCCAGATGCACGGGGTGAGGGGGGGTGGTGCCGTGAAGCCAGGAGCGCCACCCAGTATCCTGGCCAGAGAGCCATCGCTGCTGTCCCTGTGAGGCCCTGATGCTGCCATGGGCACCACCCTGGCCCAGGCCTGCCTCCTGCTGGCGTCCCCGGCAGGCCACACACAGTGTGCCCACACCCTTCTGTCCAGCTTTTCCCAC